TTTATTTATTTATTTATTTTTACTTATGCACCTCGTGCACTGGCATGGATGGAGGCCCACTGACATCGAGAGTGTACAGGACCCAATATTTGGTGCTACACCCCTGGCTGTGGTAGCCATGCTGTTTCAGTATGCCTTCAGTTTTGAATAAATCACCAACAGTGTCACCAGCAAAGCACCCCCACACCATCACACCTCCTCCTCCATGCTTCACAGTGGGAACCAGACATGTAGAGTTCATCCGTTCACCTTTTCACTGTGGTTAGAACCAAAGATCTCAAATTTGGACTCATCAGACCAAAGCACAGATTTCCACTGGTCTCATGTCCATTCATTGTGGTCTTTAACCCAAACAAGTCTCTTCTGCTTGTTCCTGTCCTTGGCAGTGGATTCACACAGTCTCCTCTGAACAGTTGTTCTACAGATGTTTCTGCTGCTAGAACTCGGTCTTTTTTGTTCAGTATATAACTCCACGTGTGTTTTGCTATTTTTTAGCTATTATTTAGGATAATTTTAGGTTTTAGCTATGGGTTTACCATTGAAGTTTATAAATGCTTTTTGCAGCTTTTAGAAATTGATTCCTTCTCTGTATMTTTTAGATACAGGTTAGCTTTTAGCTTTGATTGAGGAAATTCTGCTTTGAGTCACAGATGTTGTTACACTATGGTTTTACTACATTTCCTTTTATATCTAGCCTTTAGCTACAGTTCTACTAAGCTTAGTTTCAGCTAATTTTTAGTAATTATAGTTTCTTGCTGCAGTTTTGCTTATGGTACCAGTTAGAAACCATTTAGCCAAACTTGGCCTTAAGCTTGGTTTTGCAATGTTAACTTGTTAACTGCATGGAAATGTTAGCTGCTGTTAGCTCATACCATACTGTTTGCCTGTTTTAGGTTTTCCTAATGTTAGCTTTTAGTTACTTATTAATCAGTTTTAATTATGACCTGGTGAAAGTTATACAGTATTTAAGCTGTATTTTTGCTCGTCTTTCTGACATTATGTTGTCTCTCTGCTGAGGGTAAATCTGTCAGACAAACTGGTTCCTCCACTCAGTCTCAYAATCATCTTAGAACCATAAACTACAACAGTTTGAGAAATGCACCACTAATGCTAATTTACTGACGTAGACCTAAAGCTTGATGTTTAGCTGAACTCAAAGCTGTCCTTCCTGTGGTACACCTGACCTTGACTGTGCACCTGATGACCCAGCAGACCTTCTGCTGTTTACAGCTGAAACACTCAGCTGATGACAACAGGTTGTTGGAGGAAGTCAGTGTGTAGTGCTTCAGCAGGAGCTGAACTACTGGAGTCCTCAGCTCAGAGAGTTTGAGTTATAWAGTCCTCTGATCCTCTGTAACATGTTTTAACATTTAACATGTTCTCACATACAGTATGTGTCCTCCATGTCCCTGTGTTTAACCTTCACCTCACACAACAAGAACAGGAGAAACACTGAGAGAGATGAGAACATGGAGGAGAGCTGTGGTTCAGACAGTCCTACAARGGTTTTATTTCACCTGATAACGCATGATGTCATCAGCAAAATCAGCAACACTGAGAACATCTGCTTGGAAACTTACAGCTAGTAAATGTAATTAACTAGTTTATGACTAGTCCACAACGTTGAAGTAGTCTGAAGTAGACAATTTAATGTCGGTCGTAGACTAATGTAATGAATGTTGTCATTACAGTTGACGTTACATTAGTAATGTCATTAATTAGTTTTACATTAGTCAGACATGAACAAGTTAATGATAGCTCTGGAATAGTTAATGACTGCCATGGACTAGTAATGGCAGGAAAGACTAGTTAATGGCAGCTGAGGTGACAGCTATCGAATAGTTAATAAAAAGCTATAAACTAGTTAATGACAGCTATATACTACTTAATGACAGTTATAGACTAGTTAATGACAGTTACAGACTGGTTAATGACAGTTACAGACTGGTTAATGACAGTTATAGACTTGTTAATGACAGTTATAGACTTGTTAATGACAGTTACAGACTTATAGACTAGTTAATGACAGTTACAGACTTACAGACTAGTTAATGACAGTTATAGACTGGTTAATGACAGTTATAGACTGGTTAATGACAGTTACAGACTAGTTAATGACAGTTACAGACTTACAGACTAGTTAATGACAGTTATAGACTGGTTAATGACAGTTATAGACTAGCTAATGACAGTTATAGACNGGGTCAGCAGCAGCAGCAGGGTCAGCAGGGTCAGCAGCAGCAGGGTGGTCCTACCTTGTGGGTGCAGTGCAGTGGGATGACGTTGGGCTGCACCTTCCACTGAGCGTCCTCAGGAATACTGTCGTTGTTGGCCGGAGGCTGGAAGAGGACAGGACACACCTGGTTAAGACCTGATCCAGGACTGAACACTCAGACTGGACCTCAGGGACCTGACTGACCCGTGGACGGAAGTTGACGATCCTGTTCAGCTTGACGATCAGGCAGGGCTTGCCCTGGCTGAAGCCAAAGTCCCGGTCCTCCAGACCCGAGCAGGGGCCCAGCAGCTCTCGGGGGAACTTACAGGCCCGCTTGGTGCCGGTCGAGCTGTCCAGGTCGCCTCGGTCCTTGTAGTCGGCAGGTTCAGCTGCACGGAGGAGCAGGAGAAAACTTACAGCCGAAAACATTTCATCAGCTAAACTTACTGACAGAACACGAGTATTTCAGCACGCAGAAAAACGTGTCAACGACAACAAATGTCGCTAACATGAGCTAATATTAGCTAAAAACTAGCTAACAATGCTAAACACGAACTGAAAGTAGCTGAAAGATGTTAAAATGAGCTAAAATAGCAAATAGTATAAAAATGTTCAATTTAACAGAAAAACATGAACATAAAACAGCTGAAATAAGGTAAAAAAGCAGCTGAAAACTAAAAGGAAAAACTGAAACAGTCATAAAGGAACAGAAGTGTTTGTGAATTAAACCGTTTAAAAAGCAGACAAACTGCAGGATGAGCTAAAAACAGGAGAGAGGTGGGCGTCTGCAGCCAAACAAACAAAGAAACAAACAAAGAAACAAACACAGTTAGGCCGTACCTCCACAGTCCTCAAACTTCATGTTGTCCTGCTGGTTGCTGTCGTCGTACAGACTCATGAACTTCCTCATGGCTTTGACCAGAGGCTGGAACGAGTCCATCTCTTTAGGGTGGAAGTTCACCTCACCTTTGTCTGACTGAGGGCTGTGGGTCAGACCTGCAGGGGACACACACACACACACACACACACACACAC